CCGAGGGTCTGCGGCCGGGCGGCGTGGCCAGCCCAGCGCCCCCTTTCCCCGGGGCCTCCCCGGGGCTGGCGTGCCCGTTGCTGAGCGACTTGCGCCCCCCGCTCTCGGAGATCTTGAAGAGGGGGATGCTGCTGACGGGCAGGGAGGCCATGGGCTGGCTGAAGAGGCCGGGGTTGGAGGCCCACTCCCTCAGGGCCTTCTGCAGGCGCCGGACGTGCAGGGGCTTGGTGGCCATGCCCACCAGCGCCATGATCTCCAGGAACTCCTCCTCGCCCGCCTCGCACAGCTGCTGCATGTCATCCCCGCCCTGCTGGATGAAGGTCTCGTAGTAGGAGAGCAGGTTCGCTCGCTGCAGCACGCGGTACAGCTGCAGCTCGCCCAGGGTGCGGGGCAGGGCCATGGCGAGGGGCAGGCCTGTGAGGGGAAGAGGGGACATCAGGGCCAGAGCAGGGCGAGGGGGGGAGGCGAGCGGAGAACCAGCGGCCGCTTCCCCGCACTGCCTGGCCGCAATCCCCCACTGCGCTCTGCACTGCCCCCCGCCGATTCTCCCTCCCTCGCCTCCCTGCGCTGCATGGCTGCAATCCCACACTGCATTCTGCGCTGCACCCCGCCAATTCCTCCACCCTCGCCTCCCTGTGCTGCATGGCTGCAATCCCACACTGCATTCTGCGCTGCACCCCGCCAATTCCTCCACCCTCGCCTCCCTGTGCTGCATGGCTGCAATCCCACACTGCATTCTGCACTGCACCCTGCTGCTTCTCCCACCCTCGCCTCCCTGCGCTGCCGAGCCTCCCCTGCTGCATGGCCGCAATCCCCCACTGCACTCTGCACTGCACCCCGCCAGTTCTCCCACCCTCGCCTCCCTGCACTGCATGGCTGCAATCCCGCACTGCACTCTGCACTGCACCCGCCCAATCTTCCCGCCCTGCGCCTAGCACCCTCGCCTCTCTGCACTGCATGGTGCAATCCCGCACTGCTCCCTACACTGCACCTGCCCAATTTTTCCATCCTGCACCTAGCACCCTCACCTCTCTACACTGCATGGTGCAATCCCCCACTGCTTTCTGCACTGCACCCTGCCAGTCCTCCCACCCCGCGCCTAGCACCCTCACCTCCCTGCACTGCACGGCTCCAATTCCCCACTGCTTTCTGCATTGCACCCCACCAATATTCTTTCCCTCACCTCTTCATGGTTCGTGGCTGTAACCCTCCACTGCATTCCACACTGCATCCCCCCCCCAAAGCAGTTGCACCCTCCCCCCTGCATCCAGCATCCTCACCTCCTTGCACTACAGGGAAGCAACTTCCCACTGCACTCTACCAACCTCCCTGCACTGCATGGCTCTAAACCCTACCCCTTCCCACTGCACCCAACCAACTTCTCTGCACTGTACCTAGCACCCTAACCTTCCTGCACTGACTTGCTGCAACCCTCCTCGTCACGCTGCACTGTTCTCCACCAGCTTGCCCGTTCCCCTCTGCACTGCACCTGCCCAATTTTCCCACCCTACACCTAGCACCCGAGCCTCCCCGCACTGCATGGTTGCAATCCCTGCTGCACTCTGCACTGCACCCCGCCAGTTCTCCCACCCTCGCCTCCCTGCGCTGCATGGCCGCAATCCCCCACTGCGCTCTGCACTGCACCCCGCCAATTCTCCCACCCTCGCCTCCCTGCACTGCATGGCTGCAATCCCACACTGCATTCTGCACTGCACCCCGCCAATTCTCCCACCCTCGCCTCCCTGCACTGCATGGCTGCAATCCCACACTGCATTCTGCACTGCACCCTGCCGATTCTCCCACCCTCGCCTCCCTGCGCTGCATGGCTGCAATCCCACACTGCATTCTGCACTGCACCCCGCCAATTCTCCCACCCTCGCCTCCCTGTGCTGCATGGCCGCAATCCCCCACTGCACTCTGCACTGCACCCCGCCAGTTCTCCCACCCTCGCCTCCCTGCGCTGCATGGCCGCAATCCCCCACTGCGCTCTGCACTGCACCCCGCCAATTCTCCCACCCTCGCCTCCCTGCACTGCATGGCTGCAATCCCACACCGC